TCCCAGGAGGAAGCGCGTGCTGGGGCTTTCCTCCTCTGTGAGGTGGGGGAGGAGTCCTGGGAGGAGGCGTGTGCCAGGGCTTCACCCCTCAGTGGGGGGGTGGTAGGAGTCTCCAGAGGAGGCGTGCGTCAGGGCTTCCCTCCTCTGTGGGGGGCTAGGGGGGTAGGAGTCCTGAGGGGGGAGGCATGTGCTGGAGACTCCCTGTCCCCGACCCCAGCCACAGAACCCTGCCCCCACTGGCACCCTGTCCCCTGCCCCAGCACCCACTAGCACCCTTCCCCAGCACCATGTCCCCTGCTCCCACCAGCACAGTTGGGGCCACATTAGTGAGGCTTGGGGGGAGGAGGGTTTGGAGGAGTTATTTTTTTGCATCTCACTTGTCGCCCCCAACTGACTTTTCTGTGGGTCAGTGACCCCTGACTAAAAACAGGTTCCCTGCTCTTCTCATAAATAAAGACAATGCTGAAACTTTTTGTGTTTGACATAATATTTTATTTAAATATAAAGCCTGGCCAACAAACCCCCATCTGGCTGTAGCATCATAACACTCCTGCAATTCCCCCTCTTCCCCCGACCCTAGATCTGAGCCTCACTGCTTACCCCTTTCTCCAGATCATTTATGAATAAGTTGAAAAGGACTGGTCCCAGGACTGACCCTTGGGGGACACCACTAGTTACCCCCTTGTCCGCATGTTTGTTAACCCCTTCAAAGAACTCTAACAGATTAGTAAGACAGGATTTCCCTTTACAGAAACCATGTTGACATTTGTCCAACAAATTATGTTCCTCTACGTGCCTCACAATTTTATTCTTTACTATTGTTTCGACTAATTTGCCCGGTACTGAAGGTAAACTTACCAGTCTGTAATTGCCAGGATCGCCTCTAGAGCCCTTTTTAAATATTGGTGTCACATTGGCTACCTTCCAGTCATTAGGTACAGAAGCCAATTTAAAGGATAGGTTACAAACCACAGATAATAGCTCAGCAATTTCTCATTTGAGTTCTTTTAGAACCCTTGGATAAATGCCATCCGGTCCCGGAGATTTGTTAACATTAAGTTTTTCTATTTGTTCCAAAACCTCCTCTACTGACACTTCAATCCGGGACAGTTCCTCAGATTCATCACCCACAAAGGACAGTGCAGATTTGGGAATCTCCCCAACGTCCTCAGCCATGAAGACTGAAGCAAAGAAATCATTTAGTTTCTCCGCAATGGCTTTATCATCCTTGATTGCTCCTTTTATAGTTCGATCATCTAGGGGACCCACAGGCTTTTTAGCAGGCTTCCTGCTTCTAATGTTCTTAAAAAACATTTTATTTCTTTTTGAGTTTTTGGCTAGTTGTTCCTCAAAATCTTTTTTTGCTTTTCTTATTACATTTTTACACTTGATTTCACAGTGTTTATGTTCCTTTCTATTTCTCTCACTATGATGGGACTTCTATTTCTTAAAAGATGCCTTTTTTGTCCCTCGCTGCTTCTTTTACATGGTGGTTAAGCCACGGTGACTCTTTTTTAGGTCTCTTGCTATGTTTTTTAATTTGGGGTATACATTTAAGCTGGGCCTCTATTATGGTGTCTTTAAAAAGTTTCCATGCAGCTTGTAGGGATTTGGCTCTAGTCATTGTGCCTTTTAATTTCTGTGTAACTAACCTCCTCATTTTTCCATAATTTCCCTTTTTGAAATTAAATGCCTGAGTGCTGGATTGCTGAGGTGTTCTTCCCACCACAGGAATGCTAAATGTTATTATATTATGGTCACTATTCCCAACCGGTACTTCAACGGTTATCTCCTGGACCTGATCCTGCACTCCATTCAGGACTAGATCAAGAATTGCCTCTCCCCTTGTGGGTTCCTGTACCAGCTGCTCCAAGAAGCAGTCATTTAAGCCATTGAAAAATTGTATCTCTGCTTCTCTTCCTGAGGTGACATGTAACCAGTCAATATGTATTTTGGTAGCCTCTCTAATCTCCCTCAGCATTTCAATGTCAGTATCGCTGTCCTGGTCAGGTGGTCGGTAATATATCCCTACGGCTAATTTCTTATTATTGGAGCATGGACTTACTATCCATAGTGATTCTATTGAACATGTTGATTCATTTAATATTTTTATTTCATTTGATTCTACATTATCTTTCACATACAGTGCCGCTCCGCCACCACCCAGTGGGGGCGCGTAGTGTGCAGGCTGTACACTGTTTGGGCTGTGGGTGACCCCTACTGGCCTGTATCTGTAAGCACTGCACAGCAGGGGGTGTTGCCTGAAGACAGGTAGACAATGACCCAACCGGTTCTTACTACCTTTGTTCGTCCCTGCCCTCACAGGTGAGTGTTGGGGGAAGGGTCAGTTTCTGGCTGGGAAAGATGAAGGGAACAGACTAAGCTGAGAGTTGAGAGGGCGATGGATCCCCGCCTAACCCAAGGGGTCTGAGGCAGCCTGGCCCTGATGACTGTAACCACATCACATCTGTGCTGGGCTGTATCCTGGAGAAGCAATAAACCCCCTCTGTTCTACTGGCTGGTGGAGTCTGTTCTGGCTGCTATGGGGGTGTAGGATCGGGGGGAACCCCGACATGCAGTTATAGGGTATGGCTAGACTTCAGGAGTTTTTCCGGGATTCCAGAGGTATCCTGGAAAAACTCTACTGCATCTAGGGACATGTTGTTCTTCTGCTTTTTTTAGCGGAAGAGCAAACATGCTCTTGCGGTAACCCCTGTATTCCTCATTCTATGAGGAATAAGGGGGCTTCCAAAAGAAGGGGCTTTTCTGACATTTGACCCAGTCTAGACAGGCCAAATGTTGGAAAAACCTCTTCCTACAGAAGAATCGAAAAAAAAGTGGCAGTGTAGCTGTACCCTGAGAGTGTATAAGGGCTGGGGATAGCACGTGACGGAGAGGAGGAGAACAGAGAGGGCGGGGCTTCAAGGAAGGGGTGGGGTTTTGGGGGAAGGATGGGGAGGTAGATCTTGGCTTGTTCTTACATTTCAAAAGTGATCTTGAGTGTAAAAAGGTTAGAGACCACTGGGCTAGGGGGTGAAATGGGGAAAACCCAATAGCCTTCAGATAAGCATTCCTTCAGCAAAGTTCTTGTGTAGTCTTGGATAAATTAATTCGGCTCCTGTCTCTTCTCTCTCCATTCCAGATACGATATTGTTTTCCTTCCGCCATCCTTCCCCATTGTTGCCATGGAGAACCCATGCCTGACCTTCATCATCTCTTCCATTCTGGAGAGTGACGAGTTCCTCATCATCGACATCATTCATGAGGTTGCACACAGCTGGTTTGGCAATGCCGTCACCAATGCCACCTGGGAGGAGATGTGGCTGAGCGAGGGGCTGGCCACATATGCACAGCGCCGGATCACCACTGAGACCTGTGGTATAGTTGTAGCGATTGTTTTTGTTTGGCATGTGTAACCCACGCTGTTCTTCCCCCAGCTCGTGGGGAAAAAGGTTGGTAGGCGAAGAGGAAGGAGACACATGAAGATTTTCCTTTCAACCCGTTGGAGCTGAGAGCTGGGATTTCAGGGTCCTAATATAAAATATTAGAAGGCTTAGCTGGTGTGGGCTGGGACTTGTCTGGGATGAGAGGTCATGCAGGCCACCTGCTGGCTTCTCTCTGAGGCCTGTGTAAACAATCCCATTCTTTTCAGTCTTGCTCAGCAGCCTTGCCAGGCTTCTAATCACTTTTGTTGTCCCCTTTTGCACTCCACCTCTATTGGGATGTTTTTGAGGCAGAGCTACCAGAATAGAACTCAGGAGAGGATGCCATCAATTTACACAAAGGAATCCATTATGTTTCATTGCATTTGTCAGTGTTGTTTGGATTCCGTAGTATCCTTTTGTTCCCTTGTTTAACTGCCATTGTGCATTGACCACTCCACAGTGATGCTCAGGTCTCTTTCCTGAGTGGTCACAATTACACTGGTGAAAGACAGCAAAAAATCAAGCACATCGAAATTGCTAATGAAGCTGGGATTTAAATATCCCGTGCCTCATTAGCATAAACATGGCTGCCGCTTTTTCTGAAACGGTGCTTTTTTTAGGGGGGGGGAAGGCAGTCTAGACGATATGTTTTGAAAATACAACCCTTTTTCGAGGGATAAGGGATCTTTCGAAAAAGGGCTGTATTTTTGAAAGATCGTGTCTAGACTGCCGTTTTTTCGAAAAAGCTCCGTTTCAAAAAAAGCGGCAGCCATGTTTATGCTAATGAGGCACGGGATATTTAAATCCCAGCTTCATTTGCATCCCTCTGTCGACAGAGGGATGCAGTCTAAACATAGCCCCTGTGAGTAAGTCTATGTGAATTTCTCCTGTTGTGACATTTGTCTTTCACTGTCAAGTAGCCTGTATCTTTTACATGTACTGGTGATGCAGTTATCTGCCTGACATTGGATAACGTGTATAATTTCTCTTGTGGGGCAGGTGCTGCCTTTACCTGCCTGGAGACTGCATTCCGTCTTGATGCCCTCCACAGACAGATGAAACTTCTTGGGGAGGACAACCCAGTTAGCAAGCTTCAGGTTAAGCTGGAGCCAGGTATGGCTGTTCCTGGAGATGCTGTTGGGAGAAACAGATCATATATTTAAATGCCTAAATATGTCCTCAGGAGCAATGTTCCCTGTCAGCTATGTGCTCGTGTGGCCACTTGGGAGAGATTCAAAGGCCGCCCAGCTAGCAGAGCGCCCACAGCTAGGTTTTGTGTTTCTGCTGGTGGTGCACATTCACACGTGCCACAGTGCACATAAAATTATCCCACACGTAGATGGAAAAGATTAGAGGGACTGCTGCTCAGGAGTCTAAGTTTAGACGCCCAACTCTTGAAAATGTTGGCCTATATTTGCAATCTGTTAAATTTGAAGAACAATTTAAATCCATGGTGGGCAACCTGTGGCCCCTGGACTGTATGCGGCCCACTGGGGCTCCACCTGTGGCCCGCAGACCCCTACTCTGTTCCCTTCTCTCATGCGCACTGGGGCACCGGAGCCTTGCACTTCCTACTCCTCCCCTTCCCTTCCAGCAACCCATAAATAGCCTGATTCACGCTCTGTCCCTGCTCCTCCCCCACCCTCCCAGAGCTGGAACACTGCGAATCAGCCGTGGAACCCCACTGCAGGTGGAACCTCACCAGGCCACAGGCCCCTGTGGCTCACTGAGGAAGGTGGTTCGCCCAGGCAGTCCACTCGCTGTTTTTGGTTGCCCATCGTTGACTTAAATATAAATGAAGGAACTTGCCTTTGGTGAGCATCTAATTCTCTGGCATTTTTCACTGTGGCCCTGTCTTTAAAAATAAATAGGGGTTTTTTAACGGTATTTTTAAAAAACTTTTTTTAAACTGAGATGTTTGGGGTTTTTTTTCTTCAGTTTCCAAAATAAATCTGGACCAAATGTGGAAAGTTTCTGCCCTGAAAACTGAATGCCTTTGAAAATTTTAACATGACAAAATAAGTTGTTCTAGTGGAAATGATTTGTTTAGCAACCTTGGTGAAAGTCTGCTCCGTTAGATGCTCTGTGCACATATATAATAATTATATACTTGTACTAGACCATTTACCCGGCGTGGCTCGGGTTTTTAACTTAAATACATTTTCTTTTTCTTCATTTAAATCATTGCTTTGGGGCGGGGCAGAGGATGAGGGGGTCAGTATGTGGGCTGCCCCCAGGAGAAAGGACAGCGTCAGGCCTCTCTCCCCACAGCAGCTTGGGGCCAAGTAAGAATTGGCTGTCCATGGCTGCTGCACTGGGTACTGATGGGAGAGGGATGCATGTCTCTCAGTTGGGGACAGACAGACACACAGACAAACTCTCTCAAATATAGTAGATAGCTGTCTCCTGCTGCCCCAGTAGGGTTATAGCTATCCCAGTCCCCATCAGTGGCCCCTTGCACACCCTGCTGTGATCATTCTGTAGTATAACTACCAGACACCTCCCTTTCTATTTTATCAGATACTATTGAATTCTATGCACATCCCATTGTCCTGGCACAACCAAACCCTTACCCCATTTTAAGTTATGATAAGAGGAAGCTGCATACCAAATTTGGTCCTAGCTCTTACCGTTTAGGAGGAGTTCTTAAATAGGCTCACAGACAGACACATATTTCTAAAATATATAGTAAGAAGATATACTTGTGCATAGATAGGAATATAGGCACAGATTAAAAAATCATGATTTGCTTTGCTGTTGATTCAGCTCTGCAATATTAGAGACTGGTCAGCTAAATGTATTTCTACACCCTTACTATGTGTTTTTCTTTGGTGCTGGTTTTCTGTCTTTGTACCTTGTTTATATATATTTTTTCACAGTGCAAAGGGGATAGTGAGCACCAGACCATGAGGTACTCATACAGGCTACATGCTACATAGAAAAAAAAAAATCATGTAAGATGTTAGTGGCAGACTGAAAAATACTGAAGGTTCCATCTGTTGGCATCTCAAGAGTCACTAATAAGGCAATTAGCAGCACTTTGTGTGTGCGGAAGGTTCTTAAAGTTTGCACTGAAGAATATGGGTCTGAGGAAAAGATCTGCTTCCAAAGGGAGGCCTTAGAGACTGGTCTGGAATTTGAAATGACTCAAGTCATAGGCATTTAGCTAATATCCCAGAGTATACAGCGCTCTACAATGCTGCTGTTTTTCTTTTACTTTCAGGTGTGAATCCCAGCAATCTGATGAACCTGTTCACCTACGAGAAAGGCTACTGTTTTGTTTACTACCTGTCCCAGCTTTGCGGAGACCCCAAACACTTTGACTCCTTCCTCAGAGTTAGTGTGAATACATACTTCATCCTGCGCACTTTTCCATTTGGGTTGCTGACTGCCGTGGCCTCAGGTTTTGTCACTGCAGCTAAGGCCATGTGCGCACTAGCAAGCGGACAGTGGCACAGCTGTACTGATGCCGCCGTGCTGCTAAAAGGTTGTTCGTGTAGCTCCTCTGTGCTAATGGGGGGGAGAGAACTTTTGTTGGCCTAATAAAGCCACCTGAATGAGCGGCAGAGCTGTGCAGGCAGGAGAGATTCTCACTGTGCTGTGCCCGTTAACACTTATGCTGGCGAAACGTATGTCCCTCAGGGAGTTGCTTTTTTTTCTTCACATCTCTGAGCCACATAAGTGATAGGGGAGGCGTGGCCTAAGTGATGAGGGGCAGAGAGGCAGTTAGATCTGAGACAGAAGAACAGTACTGCCGTTCCTTCTGCCAGACACCCAAAGAGGAAAAGAATCTCCCGGGTCATCTCCACATGGCCATGAACCAAACCATCTCCACCTGCAAGCTGCGAGGGTGTCATGAGATTGCCAATGGCTTAATTAACCGTGTTCTGACAACTAGTGTATCTTTGCAGCTCATTGTTTAGGGCTTCAAGTCAATGGGAAGCACCGCATGGAATAGGTTGGTTATTGATGGGATTCCCTTTAGTTTGCTACAGAGAGGCCTTAGTTTGCTGTGGCTTTTGCATGCGTGGCTAGCAAATCCAACGATCAGGATTCCCTAGAGAGAGCACTTTTTATAATAGGTGGGAAAGCCTTGGTGTCTAATGGCACCATGGCAAATGCTGTATACATTGAGGTCTTTTACTGAATTTTGTATAAAAATTGACATCAAAGCTCATTTGCTCTTCTCTAACTTTTTTCTCCTTTCCTTTCACATTGCTGCCACCTCATCGTGCTCTTTCTCTTACTCTCTTCCCTTTAACTCGTCTTCTTTCTCTTCTTTAATCCATCAAGCATGTACAGAGACATTTGTATGTCTCCTGTAATCTGTATCCTGTTGGTGACTTGCTTGGTGGTCAATTGTGTCCTAATTCTCACAAGTGTGAATGTGCTGAAACCGTCCCCTCCTTCTGTGGACACTTCATGTGGCAGAACTCTTGATTTGTGCAGTTTGTACTGAATTTGGAACCTTTCCATGACTGCACCATTGTTCTCTTACCTTGAGTTTCACGAAAGCTCCTAGTACAGATCTTCCTTCCTCTTCACTGTCCTTTTGTACCAGAACCCCTTTCCAATAACTGTGGTCCCTCTACCATCTCTGTATTTTCACATAAGGCTCATGATTCTTCATCCAACTCTCACTGTCTTCCTAACCATAATTCACTCTTTCATTCTGTTTCAGGCATACATTGAGAAATACAAGTTCACCAGCGTTGTAGCCCAAGATCTTTTGGATTCCTTCCTGAATTTTTTTCCAGAACTGAAAGAGCAATGTGTTGACAACAAAGAAGGTGGGAAAGAGAGAGTTTCTTTGTTTAAGCAAAGAAAGTTTGAAAGGAACAAGGCTAGGCTTGGATTAGATGGTGTATAAGGAAATGCTGGATCTGAAGAAAATGGAAACTTCCTTACTTATTCATCTTTGGCATTCAGATCATTATAAATGTAATTCATGCCATTATCGCTCTGCTTATAATGCCAGTCATCAAAGCTAGAGAAAGAGGATAGAAGAGAAATATTTTCTGTAAGTAAAATAGAAATGGAATTTAGACGCACATTTCTGTCGCTATGAAGCTGCAGGCTGTATACTTCCCAAAAGTTCATCTCTAAATGCTTTTCTGTAATGGGCTCTCCTGCCATTGATTCTACAAGTGGGTTTGTAGGGCTCTGTGCATTATAGGAGATTATGTTGGTCTTTCTTTGGATCGTGGAAATAAATCTGAAATCACTTCCATTCCCACTATTGGGGCAGTAACTTGTCCCCCTTTCTGTAGGCCTGCCTCAATTGCTTACTTGAGTGTTTGTCAGAACTGAGGTCTTAGAATTGCTAAGAGTGACACACATGAAGGGGAGTGTGAAAGTTGAATAAAAAATGCCTCGTCTTCCTTTCTGTCTATCTCAACATTATCATCTTGGATATTTGAGTTGTCACCACTATGGTGACTAAGTGCTAGTATTAGACAGAGATGTGTTATGGTTGGAAGGGAACCAGGTAACTGCTATACAGTCAATGCAGAAAAATAGCTAAGACTGATAGGGTCATTGTTAGGATAAGAACATAGGAATGGCCATACTGGGTCAGATCAAAGGTCCATCTAGCCCAGTATCCTGTCTGCTGGATGCCACAGAGAGAGGGAACACAACAGGTAATCATCACGTGATCCTTCTCTTGTCCAGACAAACAGAGGATATTGCCCTGCTGTACTGCTACCATTAGAAGTTGATCCAGTTGTTGTTGTTAAAGCTACTTAACTATGCTAGAAGCAGTCCTGGGTCTTGAGAAAGTCAAGTCAGCTGCAGAGACTCCTGCTTCACCTTTTCGGTGCTCCTCATTCCAGGGCTGGAGTTTGAACGTTGGCTTAATGCTACAGGACCTCCATTAGTTGAGCCAGACTTATCTCAGGGATCCAGTCTGATCAGACCAGTGGAGACACTCTTCAAACTCTGGACCACAGAGCCTCTTGATGCCGTTGCTGCTGCCAGCAGCGTTGACATCACTAAATGGAGAACGTTCCAAACTGTGCTTTTTTTGGACAGATTGCTGGATGGGTCACCGCTGCCTCATGGTGAGTATTGCACCAATAATGCAGCAAGCCAAGTGGCACCTGGGCAAAGTGTGAAGGAAATAATGTTTTAGCTTCGCTCACCTAACACATAGTCCCTCACCCTAACTTAATGCTTTTCATCCACTTTTACCTAATTGCTTTTAAACCTGGCAAAATACCTCCAGTAACAAACTCGCGCTCTCTCTGTGTTTTCTTCAGAGGTGATAAAAAAGCTTTCAGACTGTTACTCCTCTCAGCTAGACTCCATGAATGCAGAGATCCGTATCCGCTGGTTGCAGATCGTAGTCCGAAATGACTATCACCCAGATCTTTACAAAGTCCGACACTTCTTGGAATACCAGGTACTAACTGCTGGATTAAAAAGCACTGCACCTCTCAGTGCATGAGACATGTGCATGAATCATGCGACGTGAAAGAGACCTTGGAACTTCTGCTTCCTGGCCAAGTATAGATCAGGTGTGTTGTGAAGGAGCTGAGTGGGGTTCACCTTCTCATGGGTGGGGATGGCTGTCAGTGAGAGAACACAACATGGTCCTGACTTTATTTCTCTTTAGCACAGAAGGATTGGCGAGGATGTCCTGTGACTTTTCTATGCATAATCTGTACTCTTCTGCTCTGGCTCCCCGCCACAGCCCAGCTCTGCCCAAACCACCATCACTTTTGCCCTGCTTTTCTGGGCCTGTACAACAGAGACTGCAACCCATATTGATGTGTGTGTTAGTTTTGTTGTCCAGTGGATAAATATCCATAGACTAGGAGCTCCATTTGTTAGTTACAGGATTGAGCAGAAGTGAAAAGTTAGGGCATGTGATCCCTGTGTCCTTTCTCTTTGGCCTGCTGGATGAGCTGTTTGTTGTGCATGAGTCATGGAATTAACTGTTCTCAGACAGACATTCAAAGAGAAGCCTTATTGTTTTACTGGTACCCGTCTCTTTCAGGTTGAGCTGACTTAATGTAATTTGATAAAAGTCTTAACAAAGAGTGAGTGTGAAGAAATACAGTGACTGCCTCTGATCTTGTTGTGAAGAACTGGCTGGTGCATTCTTTGCCCAGCTGAGTCGCTTACCCTTTGTATGCATTATGTTATCCAGCTTTATTTGTATTGTAGATGTCTCGAATGTACACAATTCCACTGTATGAGGACCTCTGCACTGGCACCCTGAAGTCCTTTGCCTTAGAAGTTTTCTACCAGACCCAGCACCAGCTGCACCCCAACTTGCGGAAAACCATTCAGCAGATCTTGACACAGGGCTTGAATCCGCTTCCCACCATAGACACTACAGCAGTTGCCATAGACACGCCAACTATGGTGCTTGAGGACAAGCCCTCAGAGGCCGCTAACAGTGCCATTTCACTCAGGGATGTTAACGTGTCTGCTTAGATCACCATCTCATACCAGGCAGGAAACTTAAGGCAGCGACAGGAACAGAGGAAAAATGCAGGACGCTGCCTCCTTTTTCTCAGCCTAACAGCTGCAGTCTTTTGTGACTGGATGTTTTAAAAATTCCCCAGACACACAGCAAATGTGCCTTCAAGTGCCCGACACAGCTGGGTTTCAGGGATCTCTTTCAGAAGTGAGCAGGAACTACAGTGGGATGGCTATTTTGATTCGTTGCATCATGGGCAGGGATTTCATGGCGTTTTCCCTCTGCAAGTGGACAGTTTTCTTCTTGGGGGCTCTTATGAACTGGTTTGTGTTGAGTAAACTGAGGCGACACGCAGTACCTGCTGTGTGTAGCATCAGGGTCAAAAAGCAGGATAAAGGGGATTAGGGCCAGAGCTCTGTAAAGAATAGTCTTTTAAGATTTTAAAGTGGTAGCCAACATGTTTTCTGCTTGTGCTGTTTACTGAGACAGAAACGTGGGATTTGGGCAGTGGAGAACTAATCCTTACGTAAGGTGAGAATCTAGTTTAAAACAGCACTTGGGTTTCATCTAGATTCAGGGTCAAAAAGCAGGATAAAGGGGATTAGGGCCAGAGCTCTGTAAAGAATAGTCTTTTAAGATTTTAAAGTGGTAGCCAACATGTTTTCTGCTTGTGCTGTTTACTGAGACAGAAACGTGGGATTTGGGCAGTGGAGAACTAATCCTTACGTAAGGTGAGAATCTAGTTTAAAACAGCACTTGGGTTTCATCTAGAT